TGCATCAATAGAGGAGTTACGTGATCGAATTTTGAAGAAGATGTCACTAAGCGCGCAGCAGCATTCTGAACGGAATTTTAATGTGTTATTTTTAGGCAACTGTAGACCTACCACCGGACTCAGCAACTAGAATTGGCTGGTCACAGCTTTATGGTGAGTGAAAATTTAGAACAGAGCTTCATACATACTCAGATAAATGGTAACAGAAAAACAACAACTTTATTTATTCATCTTAAGCTTACATTAATTGTTTAACGTTAACCGCAAATAGCTAGCGAGCTAATGGGGACAGGTAGATTTATCGTTTGTTTGGTCATGAAACATAAGTGCACCGATCGTTGGTTTTTATCAAAATCTTTTTCATCCTCTTTAGGAAATCTTCAGGCTCCTTTAGGTTATGATAAATTTAGCTACTCGTGGCGAAGTAAAAAGGGAACAAGATTCCATGAGAGTAAAGGAAAACATTACAGGTATGCACACTGAAAAAAAAATAGTGCGAATAATGAACGGTACATTAAAGCGCTAATAACGACCGTTATACCAAAATAACAGGTACTGCGTCCAATTCGGACTGTAATTTTCTGAGTTTTTGTAAATGATATTGGACACTGAAGGATAAGGTAGGTACTATCCCCTTTTTTCGATTACTAACCTCGATTTTTTTTTCTTGTTTCTAGTGATGGGTACTCAAGCGGCGATGTGATAGGATTTTTTATTAGTCTCCCATTAAACAATAGACGCCCAGGTAACAACGTTTTCTTTTGTATCCCATGTTGGATATGTAGAATACTGCATCTGTTGTAATTCATGCCCCATTGTATGAAATATTGATTTTCATGGTCATTTTTTAAAAGACGTCACTCAGCAGCAGTCTTCTGTTAAATAAAATCTACGAATTTCCTCGTGGACATTTTTGTAGTCTTGAACTGTGTTCTTTCTAATTTTTGATCCAAGGAACAGCTTAACATCAGTTAAGAGTTTAGCTATTTTAATCTGAGCCACTTGTTCCCTAGAACTGCACTAAAAATGAAAGAGAATACGTGTCTGATCAAGTAATAAGCAGTATCCTTGCGCTGGAAAACAAGAGCATGTCACGAATGGTTTTGGTTTTACCCCTTATTGATTCAGAAAAATTGCGCATTGTTTTAACTCTGAGCTAAACCTGCTGTGGATTTCTTAGATATAAGACCTCCCTTAGCTGTTTAGTGGATAAGCATCTCGTTAAAACATGCCCTGTTCTATATTTGTAGCGGAATTTCTCCCGCCGACGTTTAAAGATAAGGTAAGCTTATGTTAACGTTTTTTCCGTTTTTTATATTACTTCTTACGAGCGTTTCTATAAAACTTGAAAAATTTCTTGCAGTTATGAAATACTCGAAATTTTTATTAAGATAATTGAAAACAGGGCGAGTTCACACAAGAAAAAGACCATACGCAGATAAAGACATAATATACACGCCTTCTATCAGTGGCCTAAATAATGAACTCGTAACCAACACAAGGCGTCCTCATTTAGCTCAAGAGCAGTTAATAAAAACAAATTTACTTCATTTCCTTAGTTGGAATACCCTGCCTTACCTTTCAGGTATCACGTTCTCTCTACTCGATCGCTCCGGCACCAGCTTACCATGTTCTTTTCCCCACTTTATACCCCTTCATACTGGCTTCCATGAACGGACAAAAATTAACGGGTTCTCAATCTCACACTGCTTCATTCTTGTTTGTTAGGCTTTAATAAAGTTTAAAAATCACCTTTATTTCGAGGAAAAAGATCTGGTAGACAAGGCAGAAAAGGTAAGGCTTTCAGCTTCTCCTTCTCAGGGCTTGTTCTTGTCTTTTATGGTTATCCCTACCATGATTCTCTAAATGATTTTTTTTGTTGCGTTTTCAGAATTTGAAGCCTTTACTTGGAAGTCAGGTAAGCTACATCTTTAGTATCTTTAAACTTATCCAGGTTGTCCTCACGCTGCAGACTGGCCTCTGTTCCAGCTTCTAATCTGACCAATCTCGTGTATTTTTGTGTGTGCTTGTCTTAAATAACTTAATAAAAAAATCGAATAAACAGGAGTCAAAAACGCTCCAATTGTCATTTCTTAGACAAAAAGACAGTAACACACAACATTTAAGATACTTTTGAGTTTATTTGCTAGTGATCAGTTGATATGATACGAATCTTTACGGTAGCTTCCAGGCTTCTACATAAAAAGTCAAAACGCTGACGTAATAGACCTCTTTGTGTAGGTAATATCATGATTTGTAGTGATATTTGGCATAAATACCACAAGTGAGATGCTTATCCACGAGTGTTATACGTAATTTCACGAGCTTTTAGGCGAGTAAAATTTGAGACAATTTTGAAATATCACGAGAAGTATTTATGCCAAATATCACGTACAAATCATGCTATTATTTGTTTATACTACTACCCGCAATAGTTTTGTAATTTTCACTTGTAGGTATTTCAAATTAAGCTGAAATACCACAGCTCTAAGCCAATCAATTTTCAGAAATTTCTGATGTAGTAGTATAAAGCTTGTAATGTTTTGTTTTCCCAATAGAGGTCCAAGGGAACTTGACCCTTTGTCTTTTTATGAATTATGCGTACATATGCACTTGAATAAAACGAAATTTTAAAGAAACAGTTCAGAGTATTATCACATGACCTGTATTGGGAAAACAAAACATACAGGCTAAAGAGGTCTATTAGTGATACTTATGCACGATTCTCTCTGTGAAATTTTTTGCAGATAAAATTTTTTAAGAATGGCGTTTGTCAGGTGAGTGCGATACAATTAGGTTTCAAAAAGGGGTATCCAGAATTTACAATACATTGACCTTTTGTAAGCACAGGCAGTGTCGAATGGAAAAGGTAAGTTCATGATTTGCAAGGAGTAAGCTGCTCTTGTTTCGTTATTTCATCTGCATCGCGCGAAAAAAGGAATAGGCACCAACAGGCTAACTAACAAGTAAGTTTCTGTGGTGTTATGCTCAGGTTATGCTTGAAAGAAAATGTTTGTTTTCTTAGGGCGTCGCTTGGCAAGATATTCACGAGGGAACGTATTACCCAGCGGTATCAGTGTTTAAAAATGCAACGGTAAGCAGACTTTCTTTGTATCGCCATGCGCTGGAGTATTAAACGTGAATCTAACTGATAGAGGATCGATAATTTGGATAGATAATAGAGAGATTAAGAATCACGTTTAAGACAAACGGCAAACGTGAATTTGTACCACGTGACCAAGTTTCCCCTTAATTGTCGTTTACTGTTTATTACTTCTTCTCAAAAATAAGTAGTTTCACGCCAGTTTCATCCATAAGAATTGTTCTGGACAGTTTTTATTTGCTTAGTTTCTATTCTATTTCTTCTTAGAAATTCGCAACTTGAATCTGACGTTTGCCGTTTGACGTAAACGTGACTCTTAATCTATCTCTGTCCAATCCTTACGTTAAATCTTGCAAACTTTCTGTCTTCTTGAAGCTAAGCTGTTGTTGCACTGCACCTTTTGAGTGTAGCATTAAAAGTTGCTCAGAAATCACCACGAATTGATGCACCATAATGTGTTTTTTCTGTCAGGTCACGCTAAATTTTGGACCGGATTTCAAATATCCTCCGACAGACGAAGACTTCCAACCGGTAGGAGTTTTGTTTCAAATATTTTTCGTTCCAGTGTATTCTTTCCTCGATCGATGATGGTTTAGGTTGCTGTAAAGTTTTGCACCTTTGATAATAAATTTATGCAAAGTTTATTTTGTCCCACAGATGAGCTTCAAGGCCATGGAATTTGCTGTAGAACAGAGTTTATCCGATCTCCTTTACCTGGTTGATTCACAGGAGAGACCCGTTCCTCTGCCTGAAAAAATACTCATCCCTCCAAAAAGAAAGTGACAACACGAAACAGACTTGACGTCACCTCTGGTTCAGTACGTCCCCGAATAAGAGGAATCTACTCCACGTCGGATCCACTCCAAAGCATTTATACAAAACACAAGAATGAAGCCTTCATTTCTTGACAAAAATTTTTAATCTTGCAGGCCCTTACATGAGCTTGCTTCCTTCATAAAATATCCAGAAAGAAGTTTGGGCTTCTTGCAGACTTTTTGTCAATAGTAAAATTCAGTTTCTTCTCAGTGATTTTGTAATTTTTGCTCGCAGTCTACCTTGGCATATTTAAAAACGTACATTTTTATTCCTTACTTTCACTGTCAGCAAAAACTAAATCTTTGTCGGTAAACGTTCATCGAATCTTATATCCGTTGTGGGCCCGACTGTTTTGAAAACATTTACGCGCACTACCGCGCTAACTTTTGTCTAGCGCTCAGGGAGTAATCAATTACACGCGTGTACTCCCCTCACTCCCTTCCTCCTCGCAGCGTCGGCTAACTGCTGATATAGACACGCTGCTTTATCGTTTGATATGTATAGTAGTCTCTCCGTCATCAGTGGATCACTTGTAACGTAAGGGTTTTTTTTTTCTGTAATAAAGCCTCTGTATCATAAAAACATGACAACATAGTACTATCTCGCTGCGTCATTCAAATGGTGGTTTATCTACCGGCGACTAACGAAACGAGAGACCTTCAGATCCAAAACAAGGACAACTCAGTACAAGGAGGAAATGAACCACGCGCGTGAACCAGCGTCATTTTGGCGGGAAAACGCAAAAACCGTTGTCGCGGGTTTTAGCGAGAATGTTGTATTAGAGTACCGGTAGTGGGGGGAAAAAGTTATCGAATGTTAAGAAGAAATCCATCAGGAAATTGAGTAATTTTAATTTTCAGTGGACAAAAACATTGTACCAGAATAATTTAAACAATATCGCATTTTTTATCGCATTTTTTTAAAGGGCTTTAGATGTAAATGTTAAAATTTAGATGATCAAAATTTTAAGTTTTCTTGAGTACTTCATGGACAGAATGGCCAAATTCATGTCAGAAGACGGGAAACTCGTCACAGACGGAATTCCGTCGGAGAAAATACCAATTGATATGAATTTAACGACGGTAAACCGGTCGTATTTTTCCCGTCGGTTTAGACGGAAAATTAGACGGATAAATTTGAGGCGGGAAACGCGTCCTCAACGACCCAGGCCAGCTCGCACTATCGGAGTGACCAGAGTAGGCTTGGATGGAACATTATAGCCCGGGGCGTTCTTCGGCGAATTTTCCGGACAAGGTTGAAAGGTGACGTCACATCCGAAAACGCCGAGGATGACTGGGAACTAGGCTGAACCGGAGTTTTTCGTTTACCGTAGTTATTCGATTAAACGCCGCTCTCGAACAAACGCCGCAGATGGAATAAACGCCGTCCTCGAATAAACGCCACACCTCATCAGAGATCATCAGAAGAATGCGGCGTTTACTATGGGATAATAAGAAAAATCTCGAGACAACTTAGTAATTTACACCATCCAGCATTTACGATTCTATCTCGGCAAAATAAGAGAGACACTGAAACCTTTAAATTACATAATACCGGTATTTACAAACGATTTACAATAACTGTTGTCAGTGATTTTAAAAAAAGTTATTTCGAAATAAACGCCGCATTGGAAACGCTAAAAATTTTTAAAATAGACGCAGTGGCGTTTAATGGAATAAATACGATATACAAGTTTCCCGTCCAAGACGGTTTTCCGTCTGTAATATTAATTCGACTAATATATGGGCTCGGACGCGGTATGAGCAATGATCTTTTTCGCCCTAAATTGATATCTCAACTTTTGAGTATCTAAACAAGGGCATCACGAAGAAGATTTCAACGACCCGAAGTCGATTTTTCAGTAACGTTTAGTCGCCGTAATCGGATTGTAAGGTTCCTAATCTGCGGGATGATCCGGATCAAGATCAGTAATACGAGATCACTCGGATGAATGATCCTTTCCCAAGAGATCTTCGGTCACGACTTGATCCGGATCATCCCAAAGGAACGCACCCCATATTTCACTTGCCCTCATATCGTGTTGTACGAACCATGCTTTTTTTCCTACACACTTGTATGTAATCTGTCCCTTATTGACAAGGGGACGTATTCTCGAAGTCCACCAAGACCCTTCAAAGCTATATCGCAACGTTTCTTTTGTAACAACAGTCTCGTTTCTAATAAGATAATTACGATATAGCGTCGCCTTGAAGGGCTTCGATAATTTTCAGACAAACAAATTTCAAGGACTTTTCAAGGATTTTTCAAGGACAAATTACAGTTTTCAAGGACTAAGATTTATTTAATAAATTGGCTTTCTTTAACCCCCTAGGATCACGAACTGGAGTCTTTTACAACTTTACTTCTTTGGCCATCGTTTTAATCATATTTAATATTTTACACTATTTTCCGCAACAAGACTTTGCAAAATGACTTGGTATGACTTGCAGTTGCATCTGAGGTAAAGAAATATTTGAAGTAAAGAAACAGAAATAAAATATTTTTCATGCACAAAAATAGTTTTACGTTACTCTGAGTTTTACAGGTTCTTACACCGAGGATGAACTAAGTTTTCCTCGGCAAAATAATTTTACAGAAAAAAGTCTCTGGCGTCGACAAGGTTGTGAATTTCACTTTTCAAGACCTAAGAACGAAATCAAGAACTTTTTCGCCCCATGTAAGGGAATCCGGATTCCGGACTCGCACGAATTTTGTGCTTATGGAATCCGGAATCCTGGGCTTTGGAATCCGGAATCCAGCACTAAGAATCCGGAATCCTACTAAAGATTGGAATCCGGAATCCAACTTACTAAAGATCCACTCCACATTAAATTGAGCTACTTGCTCGAAAGAAAAACCATCAGTCTATGGAAAGCCTCCCGAGGGTATAGACCTGAACGTGACGACATAATATCGGCATATCTGGTGTCAAAACAATAGTTCACGAGCTCCATATGAAAGGTCGAGGTCACGGTCACATAAGTAAAATTCTATAATAGCGAGGGAACCTTGCTTATGAGCGGCTGGGAGGATCACAAAATTCGGGGTTTTCAAGGGAACACAGCGCAGCGTTTTTAAGGTATAAATTGAATTGTTATGAATAACTTCGACCTCTGGCTATGTTTGATTCTCTGTTGTTCACTCGCTTCGCTAAACTTTAAAAAATCAAAAGCGATTTTATGCGAGCTTTTTGTCCTGGCATAGGACTGGAAAAGGTGCACCTGGGGTGAACCTTTTCTTGAACCTTCCTGGTCCTCCTGGTTCACAAATGAAAATAAACGACTACGTGCAACAGTTTACCTAAAAAGAAAAAAAAGAAATTCACAGTCTTCTAGTTCCTAATTTGGTCCTAGTAGTTTCGCTGAGAACAGTTTCATAGTTTCGATAATCTTTATTTGAGAAATAAGCCAGGAACTGTCAGAACCGTACCAATTAGCTGTCACTAAAGTAATCACGTGCAAGGACGCGGTGGGCGCCTTTTTCATTCATCCCCCGGCATTCGAGTGAAATCTCGCCACCTCTTCGATCAGACCAGTATGAAGTTTGTTGTTTGTTGGATTTTTCTTTTCTACTTTTTGTTTTTTAAAAAAGACGTTATTGGAAAGCACAAGCAAAAACGAAAGCTGAGAGAGAAAGGTAACTGTAATACTGTGTTGTGAAATTTTACACCAATTTTTTGCTGACTGCGATAGATCTAAACGTACCAAAGGCAAAGCTGCATGATTTTTCGTTCGTGTCGATCTGTGGACTGTGCTGAATCGAACGTGGCGGCAAGCAAGTCACAATCATGAACAAAAGAAACGTTAAGTGTATAGTTTTAAGCCCGCTGATTGATTTTTTTTCTCAATCATAATTGAATGTAATATAAATTTTACGTCATCCTTGGGGAAAATATCTTATACATGAGCGCTATATAGTTGTTAAACGCTTAAAACGAGCCAACGTGTCAGAAACGCGCAAGTCTCTCTCGATCAAACGGGTTTTTCATGTTTTCTGGTTCTACAGTTGTGATTAGACCTCGTTCACATTGAGGTCGCTTTTGGAAATTAGACCGATCTGAGATCGGTTTAGCCCGTAATTTTTTTTTTCTTTGAAATGGATCCTAGAGCCACCTAGAACGCGCTAATATGAAATAAAACTCGCGGGGGATTTCATAATCTCATACTCAGATCTCTTATTGATGA